CCTAGGCATGGATGTTTCTGGATTCTCCATGCCTTGCTTCCTAGATTAATTCATATCTGCCCAGCTCTCCTCTGGTCATATGAAGGCTGCAACAGAAAGGTCATTCTCTCTCCTGGCTTCCTGACATTACTTCCTGCTTCCCTAGCATTCCTGGAGTATCTCTAGGAATCACTGTCTCTGGGTTTAAGCCTTACAGGCAACCTAGGCATGGATGTTTCTGGATTCTCCATGCCTTGCTTCCTAGATTAATTCATATCTGCCCAGCTCTCCTCTGGTCATATGAAGGCTGCAACAGAAAGGTCATTCTCTCTCCTGGCTTCCTGACATTACTTCCTGCTTCCCTAGCATTCCTGGAGTATCTCTAGGAATCACTGTCTCTGGGTTTAAGCCTTACAGGCAATTTAGTTAATTGAAAGGCTGGGAAGCCCAGAAAAGGGTAGTACCTCTCCAATTCATCAGGAGGACAGAATAGGAGAAAGTTAAAAACAATGAGTGGGCGATGAAGGCTGGCATCAAGGGATGGTCAGGTGCAGAAGTGAACATCACTATAGTAAATGAGAGATGAAACAAGGGTAAGAGCAAGCCAGAAAGGGTCTTGAAAATGAAGGCAAGTAGTTAATATTTGATGCTATTGAGAAAGGGGATGCAAAGATTCTGGTGACATGATCAAAGTAACAGGCTAGGAAAATGGCCTTAAGAGCAGCATTCTGACTGAGATAAGATTGTATTTGTAAAGGCAGCAAAAAAGGATGTTGCAGTAACTAAGATGTGAGATGATGAGAGCCTGTGTGTAAGTTTCAGCTATCAGGATAGCTAGGACAGGCGATATGCGAGAGATGTTACGCAGGAAGACTTTGGCAAGATTAAGACATAACTTAAATGTGAAGATAAATGTAAGTGGTGAGACAGTCAGGACTGGATATGAAGGAGAATTTGAGAACTAGGTGGAGAGTGGCTGGAGTGGAGAACTGTATCTACAGAATGGCAGTTAAAGCCATGAATGGACATGCTTACCAAGACACAGGATATAAAGGGAGGAGAGGCAATCTCAGATCAAAGTGCCTTTGCTATTGAAATTTTAAGGCCAACATCTCATTTTGGTAATGTATGAAATTTCGGAATGATATGAATGTTAAATATTTCTGTAAGTAACAGCCAATCAGAAACAGAAAGACAGTATTTGATCTTTACTTTTGGTCTTAATTTATTTTTACTGAACTCACCATACAGTTTAGATTTCTTCTTTTTCTTCTTCTTCTTCTTCTGTTTTGATTTATGATCCTTTTCCTTTCTTTCTTTTTTCTCTTTATCCTTTTCCTTCTTTTTACCTAATTGCAAATCAACATTTTTAAACATTACCATCATCCTCAAATACTTTTTTTCTTTCAGTTACCCTAAAAACAATAACATTTAAATTTTAAATCTCCTGTTCCAGTCACCTGCCCAGAGTGGAATGATTCAACTAATTTGTTCAGTGCCATGTATATAGCCCTTGTATTATCTGATTCTGGAACAGCACTGGGGTTCCTCCTTAGCTGAGACACCTGGAAGTCAACACATTTATTAGTGAGAATCTTCCTAGCAAAGTAACATAATTCAGCTTCTCAGTGTCAAGAAGTCAACTATACCCCACATTTTGACAGGTAACATTATTGCAAAATTTCAGATGTGACCCTCACATGACTGGAAAAAAAGAACCAGTTTTAATAAAGCTTACATTTTAAAAATGTATTTTTTTAAAATATGTCAGTTAGTTGGTAAGAAACAGAGCAGGCAACCTATTTTCCAGATTTTGATCAGTCTGTAGAAAAAGCAAAGATGAGAACACAAAGAACTCTCAATGGGCTATTTGAAAAAAAACATCCTCGAACAAAGCATGCAAGCTGATCAAGTATGATGGAGCTTGTTGATAAACACCTGAATAGGGATGTGAATGACTAGTCGACAATCTACCATAAATTCCTTTCAGAACAACTCACCCAAAACTTTATCAGCAGACTTGCTCTGAATAAAATTAAAGTTACATTTCTGTATTTCTATTCCTTTTTAAGCACTATTGACATATGCATAAGAATGGAGTCCTTGTTTAGATTTATCTATCTCTACTATTTGCTTCCCAGGTAAAATCATAATCCACAGCTTCTAACTTCACAGTTATTTCCAAAGCAGTTAACTGTGAGATAATAAAAAGGGACTTGATTCCAGCTAGAAAATAAACCTCAAGGACTGACTGTAAAGTAATACCCTTTTTTTGTGTACATTTTCCTTAGCCACACAGAAACAAGAGCAGATATACGGAATGTTTCAATTAGAGCTAATTGTACTTATTTCTATTCCTTCTTTTCTTCCATAGACTGGTCAGCAATTTAGTCACATACAGGGCTGAATCTGTGTCAAAAATAAATTTTGGGGGGGAATGAAAAATAGTGAATTGTGGCAAAAATGAAATTTTAGGGATGAGCCTTATCGAACCATCATTAAGTATTATTTTGAAGGGTGAATAGCTCAAACTTCCTTATATTGCATTTCATTTGAGGAGGTATTGAATGTTCTGTTCGACAAGCACAAGTCAATTACCATACATACCACTAACTTGATTGAAAAAGCTTATAATGGGTACCCTATAATTATTCCTTTCCTCCATACACCCTTTTTGTTCCACCCTATTGGTTTAGAAATGAATACATGAAGCTATAGATCTACTATTCTACTGATCTTGTCTCTCTTGTGTCCTTGTACTTTCCATACAATTTCTTAGGCATACATTATCACACAAGTTTATTTATGTATAAGACAACCTTTTGCATCTATTAAGGTGTTTGGGTTTCAAGGATTTTGCTTTTCAAAGCTCGTTACTTTAAAAATACTAAACATCTGAGCACTTACACCAAAAAAGAGCATAATAAGTAAAAAGTTAGGAACAGGCTATGCTCTTACTCTCTCAAGCATTAGACTTTCTGCTTAAATATGATTTTCTGTGCATACCAAATGATGATGAGCTTTTCTCTTCCAATTTCACTTTTTTTTCAGTTTTCAATATACCTGTAGATTTAAGGAGAAAAAAAACCCACAAGCTTAGTGGGACCATTGCAGACGCTGCACTTTCTTGCAAAGTTACTTGGTTACAAACATTCCAGTTAATACATAATTAAAAGAAAGACAGAAGTAACATTGATTTTTAAAGATGCTTTACAATTACTTTTACCACCTTAAGCACTGGAAACAAAAAGCATTGTAGTTTACCAACTTCTGAATACCTGTCCCTCTCAATGACCTTCTCTGACATTTTCTCCTGCAGATTCTCAAAATATTTCTCCTTTATAGGAACAGAGAAAAGTATCTCTGTCCCTTCAGGGCTGACTGACATGGAAGACATTTTTTTTTACACTATTCCCTTTGGGTAACTTTAGGCTATTGGTTAAAGGTATTTCCAGATGTAAAGCATGTATATAAGATAAGGGTGCTAAAAATAAGACAACAAATTTACTGGGCATTCAGTACACAATATAAGTACTGATGTATCAAATATCTCTAAGACACAGTATGCTTTATTCAAAGCCTGATTTCCCCCCCCCCCGGATCATCCATAGCCTGGACCAAAGCTAGGCCAATTCACTGAACCAATATAATGACATTCACAGAGTGAGAAAACAGGTAGTGACGAGGAACAAACCACTCCCGATTCTCAGCTCGTGCCAAGAGGATACTCTACAACAAAGCAAACACCTAAAAAGCAACACAATACGAAACTATGTGTTAATCACCTTGCCCAAAACAGATTCAACAAGAAACTCTGAATAAATTATGAAATTGTAAAGCTGATGTCACAATACTTGCAGTGAGCTATGACAAAATAGGGAACAAATGGCAGTTGGTGCTGTGGGTCTCTCTTTTGTAATCTGTCTCTGAAAAGGAACTTCAGGGGGTAGCCAAGTTAGTCTGTTACAGAAAAAAACAATAAATGGTCTGGTAGCACTTTATAGACTAACAAAACATGTAGATGGTATTGTGAGCTTTCGTGGGCAGCTTACATACTATCTACATGTTTTGTTAGTCTATAAAGTGCTACCAGACCATTTATTGTTTTTTTCTGTAACAGACTAACTTGGCTACCCCCTGAAGTTCCTTAGTAGGTGTTCCATTGTTGGTGTCGGGCTTGTCCCAGCGCCGCAAATCAGAGATTTTTCTAGCAGTATCTTGTCAGGCCATGCATGCGCGGCAGGGGGCGTGTGCTGTTCGCATCTTTGGAGTTTGCACATGTGGCCCAACTCCCCTCAGTTTCTTCGTGTACACTGTATTGCGTGGAATAGATCCAAAAAAAGAGGGGAGGAAGAGTGGGTTGTGGAGCATCCACGGGGACACACATCTCAAAGAACTGTCATTAGTGCACAAGGTGAGCAACTTCCTTTTCTTCTTCAAGTGCTGTCCTTGTGGGCGCTTAACCATTGGTGACTCTATAGCTGTACCCACAATGTGGTAAGTGGGCTTTGGCTTATGTGATATATGCAGATGAAAGGACTCCTGAGCTACAATGGAACCTGTCTCCATTCGTGAAGAGATTGCATAATGTCTCATGAAGGTGTGGTTGGAGGGCCACATAGCTGCGTGCAGATGCCTTTAATAGGGACTCCTTTCAGAAAGGAAATTGGAGGTAGCTACAGCCCTTGTAGAGTGCACTCTTGAGCACGAAGGAAGTGGCCTACTTTGCAGCAAGTAACACTGAGGGTATGTCTACACTACCCCGCGAGTTCGAACTAGTGGGGTAATGTAGGCATACCGCAATTGCAAATGAAGCCCGGGATTTGAATTTCCCGGGCTTCATTTGCATAAGCCGGGCGCCGCCATTTTTAAATCCCCGCTGGTTCGATGAAATGTGCTAGGAGAGCTACATTTTATAATAATAATTTATTATTATGACAGCCTGATACTGCAGTTGTTTTCAAGCTTTGTTTTGTTTTGTTTCTTTCCTGGGGTTAAGGGAAATAAGGACTATTTTGATTAAACTAATGAAAACACTTCTGGCATTGTTCATTAAATGCTAATGCCTTTGTCTTTTTTACTAGAGCCAGACCATGTTTTTTCATGTACTTATCCATGACAAATCACTACCCTTATATGCACTCATTCTGCAGTTATAGTTTACATATATGTCTCTGTAACCCAGTTCCTGAGCTGCCTCTAAAAGGGTATGTCTTCACTACCCTCCTATTTCGAAATAGGAGGGTAGTGAAGACATACCCTGAGTGATACACGATGTTATTAATTTGGAAATAGGTTGTGAAGGTAGTGGCATTTCTCAAGAGCATTCCACTAGGGAGAGAAATAGTGTTTGCAATTTGCTGAAAGACTGTATACTGTCTATATAGAATAACACCACTCTCCGGACATCCAGGGTGTGTAATACCACCTCGTCACCAAAAGTACGAGGCTTCGGGTAGAAGGTAGGAAAGACAATGGGCTCAATGTGAAATTCTGAGCAGGCTTTAGGTAGAAAAGAGGGATGGGGTTGGAAAATCACTCTGTCCTTATGACACATGGTATAGGCTGGTGATGCCGTGAGAGCAGTAATTTCACTAACTCACCTTGCACTGTGATTGCTATTAAGAACGTTATCTTTGCTGTAAATAGGGAGAGTGAGCATGTGGCCAAAGGCTCAAACAGAGGTCTAGTTCAGCTCCCACATGAGGGCTAAAGGTCTTTGCGGAGGGTTAAGATTATGCAGCCCTCTAAGAAACCTCTGATGGGATGCACCAATATTGAAAAGCCCTCAGTCAGTCAGAGGGGGAAAACTGATAGTCCTTGATCTTTCAGATGCATGATATAGTCCAGGATCATATGAAGATGAGGCAGTTGGTTGAGTGCCAATGTTGATGCACCATGCGGCAAAGCGGTTCCAATTCTGAAGGTAAGTATTGTAAGTATTCGGTCTTCTGCTCTGAATCAGAATGTTTCTCACTTGCTGGGACCATCTCTTCTCTGCTTCCGAGAACCAGAGAGAAACCATACCACCATATGTAGCATTTCTGACTGGGAGTGGAGAACATTGCCCGCATTCTGAGAAAGAAGGTCTTGACAACTTGGAAGTGGGTAAGGATGTTGATGAGACATCCAATAAAGATAGGGAAACCAACTCTGTCTGACCCAGGCAGGGGCTATGAGGATGACTAGGGGCATCATCCAACTCAATCTTCCTGATGATTCTGGGTATAAGAAGGATTGGAGGGAACGCATAAAAGAGGTGAACCTCCCATCTGATAAGGAAGACGTCTCCCAGAGAACTAGGCCCTATAATGGTTCACAATCCTCCTGGAAAGGTATAACAAGTGGGTTCCGCAGGGGTTTGTTTTGGGACCGGCTCTGTTCAATATCTTCATCAACGATTTAGATATGGGCATAGAAAGTACGCTTACTAAGTTTTCAGATGATACCAAGCTGGGAGGGGTTGCAACTGCTCTGGAGGATAGGGTCGTAATTCAAAATGATCTGGACAAATTGGAGAAATGATCTTAGGTAAACAGGATGAAGTTCAATACAGACAAATGTAAAGTACTCCACTTAGGAAGGAACAATCAGTTTCACAAATACAGAATGGGAAGCGACTGTCTAGGAAGGAGTACAGCAGAAAGGGATCTAGGGGTTATAGTGGACCACAAGCTGAATACGAGTCACCAGTGTGATGCTGTTGCAAAAAAAGCAAACATGATTCTGGGATGCATTAACAGGTGTGATGCGAGCAAGACACGAGAAGTCATTCTTCCACTCTACTCTGCACTGGTTAGGCCTCAGTTGGAGTATTGTGTCCAGTTCTGGGCACCGCATTTCTAGAAAGATGTGGAGAAATTGGAGAGGGTCCAGAGAAGGGCAACAAGAATGATTAAAGGTCTAGAGAACATGACCTATACAGGAAGGATGAAAAAATTGCGTTTGTTTAGTTTAGAAAAGGGAAGACTGAAGAGGGACACGATAGCCATTTTCAGGTATCTTAAAGGGTGTCATAAGGAGGAGGGAGAAAACTTATTCATCTTGGCCTCTGAGAATAGAACAAGAAGCAATAGGCTTAAACTGCAGCAAGGGAGGTTTAGGTTGGACATTAGGAAAAAGTTCCCAACTGTCAGGATAGTCGAACACTGGAATAAATTGCCCAGGGAGGTTGTGGAATCGCCATCTCTGGAGATATCTAAGAGTAGGTTAGATAAATGTCTATCAGGGATGGTCTAGAAAGTATTTGGTCCTGCCATGGGGGCAGGGGACTGGACTCGATAACCTCTCAAGGTCCCTTCCAGTCCTAGTATTCTATGATTCTATACCCATCCCGGAACAATATTGGGGGCACTTGGCATTTTGGTATGCTGCAAAAAGATCTACTGCCAGAAATTCCCAGCCACGAAACAGGGCGTGCAGGCACGTATGAATTTCCCATTCGTGGTCTGTTGTGAAATGACAGCTGAGAGCATCTGCAGTTACATTGTTGGACTCCGAGAAGTATGATGCAACGAGGTTGGTGTTGTGGATACATCAGTTCCATAGGCATACAGCCTCCGCACAAAGGGACACAGAATGGGCACCACCTTGACGGTTGATGTAAAAATGTTGTCAGTGAGGATACGCATCACAGAGCCGCAAATATACTGAAGGAAATGTTTGCAAGCATTACTTACTGTGTGGAGCTCCAAAAGTTTGATATGCCAGAGGGATTTATGAACTGACCATCTGCCCTGAGCTAAGTGGCGCTGCATGTGTGCACGCCACCCGAAGAGGGAAGCATCTGTGGTGATTTGTGCAGAGGGCTGCATCTGGTAGAACAGAACACCAGCAAGGAGGTTCTTTGGACTGGTCCACCATTGGTAAGGAAGTGCGAACCTTCATAGGGATCATCTCCTGCTTGTATAGGTGGTGCATGCATCGGATGTAAACTGAGGACAGCCAATGGCGGAGGCAGCAAAAGTGCAGACATGCATATCAGACGACATATGTTGTGGCAGTCATATGCAGAAGACAGGTTAATGTTGTCACAGTAGGGCTGGATATTATGATCAAAATAA